CTTGATTAATTCAGATTCAGCACCATTTTTTCACTCCATGGTTATCAGCACTCATGCACTCATGCCATTAATTAGAAGTAAGAAGCTAGAATCTTGCTTAAGGCTTCATCGTCAATACCACCTTATCCCTCAAAAAATAATATTATTTGTGTATGTTATTTAATATTTATTAATGTAAATTTGTTGAACTTTGTTCATGTTTTACATAAACAATTTTTAGATTAAAGAGTGAATTTTCTTAATTTTTTGCAATTTATTTGAACTTTCTAGAATACTGCCAAGAAAAAAATTAACATAACTTAATATGTTTTCGAAGTGTATTTAATATATCTCTTAAAATTGAGTTTTATGATTTTTTTCAAATATCATGACTTTACTTTTTTTTTTTCTTTTCCTTTGATTCCATAACACATCCCAAGCCTCCGCTACACCTTCAGCAATTTTGCCAGTTGACACCTTCACTAATCACATCTCAGGCTGTCCATGATGTGAGCTGTCTGCTGCACCATTTAGCTCTATTAAATGTTCTTAACAAGCACCGGATGTGTGAATGTGTATATAGTGTACCTGTTGTTCATCGACTCATTGTCACCACTGATCTACTTTTACCCACAAATTACAAGGTGTTACATTCCAACCGGATTTAATATTATACATGCTCATTTGCATGCGGGAATGTGTTTTATTTATTATTATTATTTTTTTTTATTTTTTTTGCTTTTGCATCGTTCTCCATGTTTGTCTTTTTGGTAGGAATACTCCTTCATGAGATGAAGATAGTCATGAGAATTAAGGTCGATAAATATTTAAGAACTCTAGTACTAGTTTATGTCTCTCTCTTATTAAGTTTAATTGAGAGATGTTTTTTATGCTTATCGATATGAGATATTTCTTGAATCGAGGTCGTAGTCAGATAATTCTATTAATTGGGCGGAGCTGAAGTGGAAGGATGAAGCTATGCAACAAGATCTAAAACCAAGAATAGAGTCAAAGGCTCGAAGAGTTATTCTCTGGGTAGATACTCCAATGCTTAAGTTAGTTGAGAACGGTGGGCGGTCGGGTCAAGCAGTTGAGAGAAAAGTATTGGTCCGAATAGAATAACAGTATGGATGCTTCAAGTCAAGTCCCTTACCTTGAGCGAAAGTTACCTATTTATAGCCAAAATTATGTTTCCTGTTGGGATGAGGCTTCTGGGGTTGTCGGGATGAGGTTGCCCGTCGAAGTCTTCGGAATAAGTCCTAATCCCCAGCGGAGCTGTCTTCTTAATCCGTACAGGGTTCTCCTTCCTTGGTCGCGCTTAGCCATATAACGTGATGCCAACATGGCCGAAGAGATAAGATGGCCGCAAATGTGACACGTGGTACCTAGGGCCAGCTCAACCAAAACCCAAACCGTTTTCATTCTAAATCATGATATTGTAGACCAAATGTAGGAGATATGTTAGAGCAAAATACTCCTTTGATTCATGCCTCTAACCTCCAAATAAATGGACCATTTTGCATAAACACAACCATTGTTTATTTTTCTTTTTTTTTTTGATAATTCAATAATTTGTATTTGGTTAGTTCATTTATTCCAATTGGTAGGGTGTTAATTGGACCAGGTTTGGTCCAATATGAGTCCATTACAGACCAATCTGATCAATACTCTAGATCATTTTGGACCAGCCCAATCTAACGGTTGGACCGGTCAATCTGTTCAAATTAGTTTTAATTTATATTGGTTCCAACCCAAACCTAGTCCATTAACACTTGTATTCTTATATTGTATTATTAATGGACTGGATATTAGTTTAATCTGACCCAATCCAATATAAATCGATTATGGATGGACCAGGTCCGATTCAATCCAATAAATACTTTGGACCAGTTAAGTTTGAACTAATTCAATTCAATATGACATTATTAATCCATCCAAATTGATTCTGATTTGAAAGGTCGAACCCAAAACTGCGATATTGTTGGGTTGTTAGGAAGCTTTAAAAGAAGAAACTGGATAAAGTTTTGGTGGAATCGATACTCCTGAAACTGTTTTAGGCTTTTAGCCATCAAAGCCGGCGGTCAGACTGAGTTCTCCCCTCTCAAGAGCGTTTGATTTTCTCTGTTTCGAGGGGACACATAATTTCTTATGAAAACTTGACTTTATCTGTACTATTATATAAAGTCAATACTTGTTTTAGTTTTGGTGTAAGTTTAATATTTAATATCAATTTATGTTTCGCCTTCTGCTTGTATACATACATAACACTTATCCTTACACTAATTAATAAAAATCCTTCTAATGTTGAATGTTTAAAAAAACAAACTAGCCAAAATTTTTTGATATTTTTATCATTTTATATATTTTACAATTTCTGATCTTTGTTTGAAATGTTTTTTTTTTTTAATTTTTTAACGTTTTATTTGTTTATCTGCAATATCTGCAATTTTTTACTTTTCTGCTAAAATATATAATTCTTTTTGAACTTTTATCATTTATTTTTTTTTATTTTTCATTTTTAGCTGAAATATTTTTTGAAAAAAAAATATATCATTTTTTGGAAAGTTGAATCAAACCCAAAGTGAATGGGTTAGAGTGTTTTTTTTTCTTTTTCTTTTTTCCTGATAAGGGCTATACAATGGGGGTAGGGATGGCAATTTTTACCCTACTTAGTAGGTAATTTCCCCTACCCTCTCGGATGGAACAGGCCTTTTTTGGTTAAATGACAGATTTTGGAGTGGGTACAGGTTTTAGGATTCTACAACCCATAGGATAGGGTAAAGTACGGTATTAGGCTAAAGCCAATCCTCTCGATCCGCATATTGTTGGAAAGCATATAAACTTTTATTTACTATGTATTGAATGTAATAACGTTTTAAATCTTTTGTGAAGGATAATTGCTAGTTTATGTATTTTTTACATGTCTGGATCAAATAATTAGAAATCTTGATGTTTATTTGTGTTATTTTACTTATTTATTGCTTATATATGATAATAAATAATAGAAAAGTAAACACAGGTTTTAAACCCAACCCGCCCCTACCCTTAAAAGTGGGGAGGATTTTGCACTTTCATGTATAGAGAGGGTATGGATTCTCAAAATCCAATCCGCTAAAGAGTTTTGAAGTAGGTACATATTGAGAGGTTTAAGGAAACAAATAAGATCTAAAATTTATAAAATTCTCCCCATTGTCATCCCTAAATGGGGGTAGCCCATCCCCCAACCCTGGTCCAACCGGGAATGATCCTATGATCCTAAGTTTCCGTTGTTATGACAAGCTGGATACATTATGAACAAGATGATTAGCATCTTGCAGATTTTTAATAAGTAACTAGTGGGTGTAGAGTGGGTTGTTACCGGCTAACAGTTACTTTTAATAAGTAGTAGGTCAGTGCTACTCACGAATGGGCGCCTTACAATCCCATCCACCGTCCATTGGAAACATCTCCCGTAAATAATAACAAATAATTAGGGGAGATGTTCCCAATGCATAATAGTATGTGCGTGTGAGATGCCTGTAGGGCGCCAGGTGTGAGGAGCAGATCCGGTCTCCCATTTGCCAGTCCTATATGCCGATGTTGATCATCCACGGCATTCTCTTACGATGTTGATCGCCGATTATTTGGGAACTGACCAGCTTTCCAGGTCTTCAGGATATATGAGATTATGAGTTGAGCTGGACCATGGTCGGCCGGCCAAGCTCTTCAACAATGAATTAATTACATGCAATTAAGAATAGACAGGATACAGAAAAAACGGGTAAGTTGTGGGTCCACCCAGATTATAATAATTCCCTAGTTCCTCCTCGCCTCATCACCACCACTCCACACTCCCCTTTTTCATGGGTGTCCATCCAAGACCCAAATCAACAATGCAGTTCAAGAAAGGCGAGATTCTAGAGTAATGAACATTTATGATCAACGGAATGCAAAGAAAACTAGTCATCCGTTGATCTTCTCATCCAGGAGGTGAGAATTGATAGTGACGAGATTGACGATCTGTGTTGTGATACAGTGGCCCACAACTCACTAGTTTCATTTCATCATTAAGAAAATACAAAATCGATTTTTTTTCTCTTCAGATTCCGGGTTAATCGGTAGCAGAGTTGTGTAGTCTGTGGATGTTGATAGGGACTGACTACTGAGTGTGGAGACAGTGCAGGGTACACGTGAGTCCCACTGGCCTAGTTCCCTGAGAACTGCGGTTCCGCGGGGTCGATCCCGCACCTCCAATTGTGAGTAATGCCGACTGCCAAGTGATCATCGCTAAGTCACCGGATCACCTGCCAACAAATACGTTCCAACACTCCCAACAAATCTGACACCATACATCTAGACATGGCAATCGGGTTGGGTGGGTCGAGTTCGGGGTGGATCAAGGTATTTCGGATTGATTTCGGGTCGGTTTGAATATCGAATTGGGTTGTCAAATGCTAGACCCTAATCCTAAATATTCGGGTTAGGGTTGACCTATGGGTCAATTCGGGTCATTCCAAAAAATAATTGAAATTTAAAAAAATAAAAAAAAATTACATAAAAAATATCAAAATTAAAAGAATTAATCTTAAAATTTCAAATATAAAATAAAAACTTTAACATTTAACAATTTAAAGAGTAAATAATAAAAAATAAAGACTAAATAGAAAAAAATTAAAGAGCATAAATAATCTTAATTAGACTTGACAATCAGGTCAACGGATTGACCCTTAACCCAGTTTTATTGGGTCGAATCATTTTTACATTCGGATTGCTAAATATGAGACTCTAACCCTATTTTTTCGGATTGGATTGAGTCGAGTTCGCGGGTTGGATCAACTTTTTGCCGAGTCTACATAATTTTGGGAGGGAATGGGTACGTTTTTTGTTGGAAGGTGACGGTGATCTCAACTCGTCATCGGCGAGGTCAGGGTGTTGATGGGTATGTTAAAAGTAATGAATGTACTTCACCATCCTTTTCCTTCAGCTTTTTTTATTTATTCAAACCTCGTCCTAGTCAAGGAAAAACTAGCACTCGCGCTCAGCTCAAAAAAGAGAAAAGATAGGGATAGCGGAGATGCAGTTTGTACAAATATAGCCGGTTGCATCCGGTAGCAGGTAAACAAGGCCACAAAGAGAACCAAGTTGCAGTAATAACTCAGTTCAGACTTCAGACTCAGAGAGAGTATTTCTCTCAGAGCCTCCGCTCCGTCTGGTCTTAAGTGATAGCTGGCCGTTTTTTCGTCAGACAGAGAGAAAGAAAGGTATGAAGAGGGGTGGCGGAGGCTCTGAGATAGCGGAGGCATCAAAGTCGTTTCTAGTTCCGTCCTTTTCACGAATTGCAGAAATCAAAGTCCTATTTCCGCCATTAGAGCTCTGAATATTCTGGGTCTATCTTTTTTTCTCAGACTTTTTTTCATGTGTTTTGCTCTCAAATTCTCCAGGCTTCTCTTCACGTTCAATTATTTTTTAAAATCTCCAATTCCTTTTTTCTGATTTGCAGGCGGGAACATCTGAACGCGTAGCTTATGGAGGTATTAAAGAGTATGCACGAATGGTAGTGTATTACCACTCGACCTTTGAAACTGAAAGGACTGAATCTTGGATTTGGAGGGTTTGGTTTGCAGATATAACGATCGCACAGGTTGTTGTCAAATGCCCTTCTGCAGCTGTTAACTGATTCTGGTTTTCTTCTTACCCAATCTTCGATCGATCCCTCTCCACATTTCCTTGATTTCCCGCGAGTTTTGGACCTTTGGCTTTTTGAAACATGCCGGTTTTTCATTTTGGCCTTTAAACCGAGTGGACTGAGCTTCGGAGTAAGGACTAGCCGCGCAAGCAAGGACAAAAGAGTCAGAGACCTTCAACGTTTTGTTTCCTTATGCAGCAATTGCATTGTTGCTTCATGTTCGAAATTAAATTCTGAATCAGATTCGGTTATTACAGAAATTTCGATCTCTTGCTTATATCCTGTCTAACGGCAAAGATCCGATTGATAACAATCGTTGAGACCCAAAATGCTGACGTGCATCGCTTGTTCGAAGCAGCTCGGCGGTGGATCGCTTCACGAACCAGAAGACGAGGACACCACCGGCACGCCGAGCACTAAGCAAGCCATTAAAGCTCTCACCGCCCAGGTAAAGCAAGCTAGGGTTTCTTTTCTAGACTTCTATCATAATATATTCCAACTGGACTTAGGGTTTGTAACAGACGGAAACTTTTCAGATCAAGGACATGGCTTTGAAGGCCTCGGGAGCTTATCGACATTGCAAGCCATGTTCAGGATCGTCGGGAAATCATCACCACCAGAACTACGCTGAGTCCGACGCGGCCTCGGTATCGGAGAGATTTCACTGCTCGTACCGTCGGACGGGAACTTTTAGCTCGAGCTCAACGCCGAGAATATGGGGGAAAGAGATGGAAAACAGATTAAAAGGGCTTTCAAGTGGCGAAGGGACCCCGCCATCAATGAGCGGCCGAACTGAATCAGTTATTTTCATGGAGGAAGAAGAGCCCAAGGAGTGGGTGGCACAGGTTGAGCCCGGTGTTCTCATTACCTTCCTTTCGCTGCCTCAGGGAGGTAACGATCTCAAGAGAATCCGGTTCAGGTAATTCTGCCTTCTTCCAAGATCACAATGCAGACAGTTGTGATTATGTTATAACCATTTTGTTATTTTGTCGCTGTTGGATTCGAAATTTCGAATTATATAGCGATGTAATTCATTGCCACTTTTTTGTTGCTTCAAATTTTAAATCAAGTTATTCTTTTTTGGTGATAAATTTAAATTAGCTTGGTTAAATGTCGTTCGGAACTTAAAATTTAACACAGTTAAAATTCCAGATTGGTTCTTAAAACATTACCCAGTTTTTCTCCCCACCCACCCCCTAAGAAGAAAAGAAAATGAAAGAAAACGAAAATCCTTACCCAGTTCAAATTCTAGATTGGTTCTTCAAATCTTACCCAGTTTTTGCTACCCCCCGAAAAAAAAAAAAAAAGAAAAAAGAAAAACCTTACCGAGTTCAAATTCCAGTTTGGTTCTTCAAACCGATATACATCCGTATATAATCTGCAAGTTTCTGTCTCACACAATTCAGGGTTGGACAGGATCGAGCGTTGTTAGACGGGGTATGAGTATGCCATGTCTGGGGCACATCTGGGTACTCGGAGTGAAGGCAGCCATTCAATGGGTTCCACCCAGGAGCCCCTTGGACGGAAATCGGCGTGCCTGACACTAGTGACTGTCCAATATGTGGGTCGTAAAAACTTGTCTGTTTGGTAGAGCTGTATGTATGATTTTATGGCTTTTATCTTGGGCTATGGTCCTTAGAACAAGATCTGCGCCATATTTTATGGAGACAATAACGAAGAATCTAGTTTAAGCTTTGCAGACACTTCAATGACAAAATTAACCTTACCTTTACGAATGATTTCCAAATTCCAATTGACGGGGGCAAAATCTGTTTTTTGTTCTCAAAAAATCAAGGGTCTGATTTTTATTGTGTTTGCTTGGTGGAGGGGTGATTCAAATTCAAATCAATATCTTACGTGGAGAGTGGGGCAATCGTGTTGGAACTTTTCTCAAGACTCTTGTCGTTTATAACACTGTACTACTGTTTGATTTAGAATGCCAGTACTGTACTACTGTAGCATTTGCATTATAGCATAGAGCGGCTAGAGCCATAGATTGTTTTGCTTTCATTTTTCTTCTTCAAGTTACTGAGTTTGTCATTTTGTACATGTTGTCCCTTGTCTGCAAAGGTTGAAAGAAACCCACATAATCTCATGTCCCACTAAACTCCATGAAACGACAAGAATAGGCACCTAAAATAGAAACAAACAAGTTTTTTAACTGTGTAACTTCAACTTAAAAAAAAAATCAACTTTTTTCTGCATCATGGGACCGGGGAGAAGAGGAGGAAGGCTAGCGATGTAACCTAATCACCTAAATGCATGTTATCGTTGGCCTAAAACTTGATTATGATGTTGGTTTTACATCATTCAGCAGCCCTCTGATGTTACCTTTTTCCCTCTGCAAACAACCGAGGATTTCTTTAGTTGCTACTTGCCAGGAAAGCAAATGCCCTCTGAAAATTGCAGCTGTTCAGGAAAAAAAGAACAAAAAGGGGCAATCCATGTGTCCATTAGGTGGCACCTAAGCACTTCATCAACCCTGGTTTTTTCCTCTGATAAGTAACCCTGATTTATAGGTTGTGAGTCAGAAGGACCTGCAAGGTTCATATATGAACATAATGTAACTAATTCAATACGCTCTCTCCCACACAGCTAACTCTATGAAGATCAGGTGTAATGCCAATTTACTTGGCAGTCAAGCAAGTGTAGTGGTACACACAGGAGAGATTTTGATACTTCATGGACATTTGGCCATTGCTTTCCTATGCAGTTCACTTGAGGCATACCCAAGGATAATAATTTTCTCTGGGATTGGGTTTTATTAGGCACTACAAGTTATGCTTGTGACAATTTTGTGCTTTATCTTGTATCTTGCATGGTTTTTTTAGAAAGGTAATGTATTAATTATTTTGTGTCTGGGAAAGAACAGATGTACACAGCCCTACCCCTGCACATACAGAGAGGCTGTTTCCAAGACTTGAACCCTGGTCACCCAGGTCGCAATGGAGCAACACAACTGTTGTGCCAAGGCATAAAATTGTAATGCTCGTTTTACTATCTGTACAGTGGACATTTAATTTACTTAAATTACTTAAATATCAGGTTTAAATATAGTTGGCAAAATATATGAGTATGCCACTTTTCTCCACTTGTTGAGTATCAGCTTGACACTTAAATTTCAGTGTACACATTGCCAGAATATCCATTTTATTTTATTTTCCTTTTGTTGTTTTACTAGTCGAGAGATGTTCAACAAATGGCAAGCTCAGAGGTGGTGGGCTGAAAACTACGACAAGGTCATGGAACTCTACAATGTTCAGAGGTTTAACCGTCAAGCTGTCCCACTTCCTACACCCCCTAGATCTGAAGATGAGGTGAGCTTCCACATTGTCTTGGTTAGAGAAATCATATTTGAAAAATAGGTTTGGAGCAATTGAACATGCTCCAACCATCAACAGTGTGGATTTCTATCACTATCCAAATTTTCATCAAAATTATTGTGGCATCACCTGGCCCAACTCCAATTGATCCAACATCAATTGAAAGATTCACTTATAATCATACCCATGAGCTATAGATTTTGCATTTTTCATTGGAAGTCTTGTTCTGATTTGTTACATTTGAAATTCAAAATGCCTTTATCCCCTATTCAGGGTTCAAAAATTGGATCTGCTGAGGACAGCCCGGTTACGCCACCATTAAGTAAAGAACGCTTACCCCGCAATTTCCACCGGCCCGTAGGAATGGGGTACTCATCTTCAGATTCACTTGAGCACCACCCAATGCAGATCCGCCATTACTACGACTCTGGTGGTCTCACATCAACACCAAAACTTTCAAGCATCAGTGGAGCCAAGACTGAAACATCATCAATGGATGCTTCTGCAAGGTCAAGTTTGTCAAGGGAAGGGGATCGCTCTGGAGAGCTCTCTGTTAGTAATGCTAGTGATCAGGAGACTGAATGGGTTGAACAGGATGAACCTGGTGTCTACATTACCATCAGAGCACTGCCCGGTGGCACCAGGGAGCTGAGGCGTGTCAGGTTCAGGTGAGTGATTTCTTATATCCTTAATAGCTTAGTTATATCTTAAATGGTGCACAATGCCTGCCTAAATGGCTCCATGAATATGACATTAATGCCCATCCCTTTTTGATGCGTCTCACATCCGAGATTGCTTTGTAGATGCTCTTAGGTTCACTTAAAAGCTATTTCTATTACATGAGCTTCACACAGCACCTTGTTTGTTCTATCACGTAGATCTCTGTAGTTAGTAGTTGAGATTCTTAGGATGCTCAAGCATTTCATATATATATAGTTAAATAAATTGTGCCAGGTTGGGCGTCTCAGTTCAGTGAGTCCCATTTTGGCCTAATTCCTGTAATTTGACCCTGTTAGTATATAGCTACCAGCTTTTATGGGACTATGGGTAGCACTAGCACCAGCTCCTGGGGTTGAGGCGTTGTTGTGATTTTGCCCCTGCGTAAGCTTTTAATCTTCTCAGCATCATACTGTTTTATGTTTCTGTTGCAATAGCTCTGCCTAGCATATATGGGTTTCCATCGATAAAATCTAACCTTTAACCTTTGTAATTGGCTTTGACCCAAACTCAAATGCTGTGTGCATTCAAATGCATAGGCCCCGTAGCTGCAGAAAGTGGGGTCGACAGTTGGGAAAAGTGAATATCATTGGGTCACTTGATCGTACTTGTTAACTAATTAGGTTTTCCAATATGCAGTTCTTGGAAGACATGAGGCCTTCTGACTGTTAGCTAGTGGTGGTCTTTTTTCACTTCAACCCCTTGCGTATTTAAGAAAAACGAATCATGGGGGTGCCGAAACTTTTAACTGTGCCGTGGTAGATGTTTGACCTTTAAATGTCTAGCCTATCCATGAGCCGTTTTTCTCGGTCGCTGTGATTCCTGCCTCATCACCAACCGGGTCTCAGACTCTCTCAATTCCAACGAATAAATAATGATATCCACGGTAAAAGACGATATAATATAAATATGATAAGCACCAGTCAATTAATTGTGATTTGTAAGTGAAAGTTCAATTGTTTATTCGGATTTAGCTTTACGAATCCATAACTCGTTTATATTTTGTGGTACAGCCGAGAAAGGTTCGGGGAAATGCACGCAAGGTTGTGGTGGGAAGAGAACCGAGCCAGAATACATGAACAGTACTTGTAATTTGAGGAAAACTAGGTGCAGTGGACCGGCCGGTGGTGGCG